TTCGAGACAGTGGCTTCTAGAAATTCGTGGAACGACAGCGACAAAGCGGTTGCACTACTTCTGGCATTGAGGGGAAGTGCTGCTGATGTTATGCAGAGTATTCCTGTCGCTTCTAGAAACAACTATGAAGATGTTATTGCTGCACTGGGACGTAAGTACGGTGGCGAACATAAACAAAACATCTACCTTATGGAATTAAGGGGAAGAGTACAGAAGGCAAACGAGACGTTACAAGACTTTGCAGCTGAGGTGGAACGTTTGGTGCTAATGACGTATCCAGGAGAGAATCACCCATTGCTGGACCGTATGAAAATCGAAACCTTTGTGAATGGCATACGTGACCCTGAGATTAAATGTGCAACATATGCGTCACCAAAGCGTCATTTGCTGAAACCGTGTCGTTTGCCCTTGCCCAAGAGACGGCAAGAATAATTGTTAAGCCCCACACCCACAAGATTCGCCAACTGGAGACCGAATGTTGCGAACCCAAATCTCTCGTTAACTCGATCAAGGACGCCATGAGGCAGGTAATAGAAGAAACAAAGTTAGTAGGGATGACTAAGCCCAGGATTAGATGCTACAACTGCGATAAAGCAGGTCATATTGCGCGCGAATGCAGAGCTAAGCGCAAACGATCCAGGTCATCGTCACCACCTCTAACGAAAGATGGTAGAAGAATGGCTCAACAGTCCACCAATGAGTCACCGTTAAACAGAATAGAGCACAGAAAAGGCGGAAAACACGGTAATGCTGATGCCCTGTCTCATCGGCCATGCAAGGTAGAATGTAGGCATTGCTCAAAGGCTGAGAATAAAGAGAATATCGTTGATGTCCGACTATTGCAGTTTGAGTCGGGTGAAGATTGGGCGACGGAACAACGAAGAGATCCCATTCTGGGCAAAATAATTTCGGCCATAGAAACGGGCAAGCGACATAGTCGCAAAGAAATTACCTCCGAAAGCCCTCTTTTAAAATCCTATTGGGCACAGTGGGACAGTCTACTTATAATAGATGGTTGCCTATATCGCAAATGGGAAAGTGAGGACGGTAAATCTCACCGGAACTTGATCGTCGTCCCAAACTCCAAAATAAGAGATGTGTTGTCGGAGTTTCACAATGTGCCAAGCGGAGGACATCTTGGCATAGCAAAAACCGCTGGAAAGTTAAAGCAGAGATTCTACTGGGTCGGCTGACAAAAATCCATTGCCGACTGGATCGCCAATTGTGAAAGGTGCATAAGAGCTAAAGGTCCAACACGGAAGAGTCGAGGCTACATGCAGCAGTAAAATTCAGGAGCCCCTTTTGAAAGAATCGCAATGGATGTAGCTGGACCGTTCCCAACAAGCGACTCTGGGAACCGGTATGTCTTAGTGGTCATGGATTACTTCAGCAAATGGCCAGAGGTTTATGCTATCCCAAATCAAGAACCCAGGACAATTGTGGATGTGTTCAGTAAAAATTGGATTTGTCGCTATGGTGTTCCATCGGAGGTTCATTCCGATCAAGGTAGGAATTTTGAATCAGCGATCTTCAAGGAAATGTGTGACTCCTACGGAATCAAGAAAACCAGAACGACGCCCCTATATCCACAATAAGATGGCATGGTGGAAAGATTCAATCGCACCCTGGAAGAACATCTAGGTACGATCGAGCGGCAAATAGCGATGGGTTTCAAGAAGGGCAACTACTATTGTTCAACCCACAACGAAAAAAAGGACTATTCCCCAAATTGCAAACGCACTGGGAAGGACACTACAAGATTGTCACGAAAATAAATGACGTCGTTTATCGCATCCAGAGGAGCGACAGTCCCAGGTCGAAGATGAAAGTTGTACATTTGGAGCGACTGACCCCCTGCGGAACGGGAACTGTGCCTATTCGGGACGAACAGACTTAAGCGGGGGGCAATGTTACGAATATAACTTTAGATTTAAGTTAATTTAGATGAATTCCGTTAATTTAAGAATTTGAATTGTAACGTAAATTTTTACTACGCAGTTTATTCGAATAACTTCACAACAACAACTACTGTATAGATTTTTCTACATCCTTCCATTTCCTCTTTCATTGTCTATTTTGTTGTTGACGTACAATTCTTGTTAAACGTCATCATTGATGATCGCTTAATCCCTCTTTCTTTGTTACTCCCTCGCCTGTATATGTGTTGTTATTATTCACTCAATGTAAGTTTGTATGTATTTGTTGCATTGGTAGATTGTTCGTAATCTAGGTGTTACCAGATCGTCTAGAATCTTCTTTAGCGACAGGCAAGGCTCATATAAATAGGGGAAATGGAAAGGCAGTTAGTAACGTAAAGCTTTAAAGTAACGTGCAAAGTAAAGTTGTGTCAATAAAATCATTGTAATACTCGTAATCAGAAAGAACCCGCGTTTTATTTAGTACGAACTGTATTGGGAAATAAAACAACGTCTACACGGGATTAAGTAAAATCCAAGAACGTAACAATATATTATTTTCGTCGATTTTGCATTTGGTTTTCTTGATATTGGGCTTTTATTTTTCAGAAAGAATATACTGTATCTCTCGAATGCAAGGATGTAGCGATGTCAAATTTTGTCCATATCATATTTAGCATAGTTGCATTAAATCTGTGAACAGAAAATTGTTTTATAATTACGAAAAAAAATCGGGGTTCAAAGGGTTAATCTATGCGCATAGCGGTTCCCCAGAACAAACATCAAGCGAATGAACATTTACATATAATACATCATAACTACAAAACGTGGGACATACGAATTAATGCTTTAAAGTCCAGGCAATTTACATAAGCAATGCATTGGGAAATGTGCAAAACATGCTTAACCACAAAGTGAGAGACTACGAACGACTTTGGAGGGTGTTGAAATTCCCTTTAACACGAGTATAAAATACTTCGAAACCATTTTTAATAAATTGCTAATATTAAACCCAAATGTGAGATCTACAATAGATAGAACAAATGTATTAATAGGTTCGTTTTCGTATCTATGCAATATTACTTGCCACAAAATACTAAAATCAACAATGTTGCCATACGGTCAGCTCTCATATATGAATTTCCTATTTGGTTTTCCATGAAAGAATTGAAGATCTTGAAAAGGAAAGTTATATGATAAATGAATAAGAAATATGAAATTCAAACAAAAATATTTTCAAATACATAATATTATGACACCTCCGGAGTTGGTTTGTATGCTCAACTCCAAAAGCGATTCGTGGGGAAACTCCCCTCTAATGATATTTAACATATTGACGTAAGAAATATATGATAGAAATAAGTTTTGGTTCAAAAAGTCACCCTCTACCCCACCACATGACCAATATTAGGACGTGACCTTAAGCCTGTTCGTGGTCTGTTTGTGCTTTAGAGAAGGAAGAAAGTTGGAAGAAGTCATCTTTGGTTTTCTTAAACTTCTAAAAATTCTGTTTTGTTTGGGAAGTCTTTCAGTATTTTTTATTCACAACCCATTCCTCGGATATTTCACGAAAGGCATCATTTCCTAATAATTGTGTTCGGAAGCTTGAAACGATTGGAAATTGGCACGAGAAAAGTTCTAAAGTTTCGCTTATGACATATGAGAATACCTGGCAGTCTGCTGATTTCCTTTTTGTTTATTGTTAAAATTTGCTTTGTCTTATCCACATTTGGATCTCCCCATATAATTTTTGTTTTCCCAATCTCCTCGCTATTCCAAAGAATTTTGTGAAGTCCTTCAGTTTTTCCATTCACACACCCATAGGTCGGTTATTTCACGAAAGGTGCCATTTCCTAAGAATTGCGTTCGGAAGCTAAAAAGGCTGGGCAGTGGCACAGGGCTTGGCAGCGAGCTCTGTTGTAAAGTCTTTGGACCTCTATTCCTTGCGTATGTAAAGGTTTATTAGATCGTTAGTATTTATGAAATCGATGATGGCCTGGGTTAATTCGTCGATCACTGTATAGCAGAGCTTATCTCTGCCTGCCTCCTGGTAACCTTTCCAAATGATGGCGGCTACTTAACATTGGTTGCCGCTGTCTTCCTCTTTCGTGATTTCTGGTTAGTCATTTTGGATTAACAGAATGCTGCGCTCGTCTTATTGAGTGCTTTTAACAATGATTTGTTGAAGGTAGGCCCTCTGGACGAAATTAACAAAAACTGTAGTCTAGTGTAATGATATTAATGCCGTCATCGTCACCCTCAGTCAATGGATTTTGACAGTCACCTTTGATTTCGGGTAAGCTCTGCCTCCTCTTGCTATCTGCCAACGAAAAGCTCATTTTCTTTTTTACCGGTTTGGCATTCATCTGCTCTTCCAGAGACCTAACCCTCTTCGTCATTCCCGAGGAAGTGGAGGGACCGTCGTGTTTAGGAAGAATACTTGCCACAAGTCCTACTGTCTTATCCACTATAGACATGAATAATGCCAAAACTTACAGTTAACGCAGAGAGAGAGAGATTCACTACTTGGGATAAATGATGCGCAACCTGTCGTGAATGGATGCGACTCATCAAATTTCATACATGCAAATGGTCGATTACATTTTTTTTTTGAAAAATTACCCTAATCTTGATATCTCCAACACAGTCCCAATTTTTGAATGTGATGGGTTAATAACAAATAATAAATTCTATTTCTCTACTACAAATACTAATGCTATATGAAAATGTTGAAAAACAATTTAAAATATTTACTGGAGATCAAATAATCTTCACGTTGTGCGAATACATAGTTGAAACGACTAAAAATACAATTTCACTCCACAATTCCAGATTGCAACGAAATATTAGTGAATGCCAACTCAAACAATTTATCCTCACATAATATTGTAATCAAATTTGAACTTGAACCTGACATCGTTTAGTTTGTCAGCAAAATATAACGTATAACCCATAGGAACTGAATTAATGAATTATATTTTATTTTTATATGTATTTATTTACCGAAAAATAATGAAGTTAAACCTACATATTTATATATGTTTAATAATAATATTGTAATGTAATTCGTGTTAGCTATGGTAATCAGTCATTGTGCACTGGCAATGTCATCTCAAATTGATCAGCAGCATTGTTTTCATACGTTGTGTTGGAAGACGAAGATGACAAAAAATCTTCTAGAGTATCAACGTTTGTGTTGATATCGATGTCATTGTCAACATTCGTACTGTTACTATTGGAAACGCCAACCTCATTAGATCGTGTTGATGAAGAAGGAATGTCTGCCGATGCAGATGATGTCGAAGGAGATCCGTTATCTGCTAGAGGATCTTGAGATTGTCGTCGCCTGGATTCGTCTTCGCTGTGATAATTATCATCTTCGGAAAATTCAGGACTAGATACGTAGGGTAAATCTTCAACATGTTGGCGACTCTATCAAGAAACAAAGATATTCTGTCAAGCTAACAAATTTATAGATATTGTTTGCAAAAATACCTTTAGTTCAACGAATCTCTCTTCCCGGATTCGTGATAATCGCATTAGTAGATCATAATGCTGTTCCACGCGTCTCAAACATGTTGTACAGATGGTCTTCGGTAGTGGATCTGTTGGGGAAATCTAAAGTATATGGATATGCAAATGATTGGGCGTATCGCAAGCAATTTTGTTAATTTACCGTAATAGGCAAATATCCATTTATTTTCTCCACCAAACAAAGTCGCTGTCCCTGATCACCATAAATATGAATTACGATACGGTGCATTTCGGAACACAGCCGACACAAGAATCCTGAAATGCACGCTTTGTCAATGCTACCCATTATTTCTTCGGTTTGAACGGTTTCGGTTTATATTGTATTTCTGGTCTTATGCCATAAACCAGAAATATATCCGCGGTTGCCAGACTTCCCAGTACAAAAAGGACTTAGTTATACATCAAAACTACAAAGACCAAATTGAAGATACACAAAATGTCTTTGTATGTACAATACTTTTGGGCTATAGTTAAACGTGTTAAATCTTTGTGTTACATATAGGTGATTCTGCAAAAGACAATTTGATCTTGAACGTGGTGTTTTAAGTAGTTTACAAATTAATTTTAAACACTGCCAAGAATCCTTAACATAGCAAAATATAGTTTCCAAATAAACTGAATAGTAGAGTTGGGTAGTTCCGGAACGAACTAGTTCATTGGAACTATTCCGAGAAAGGAACGAACGGAACTAGTTCCAGTTCTTTAATTAATATAATTCCTTTCTCTGATCCAGTTCCTTTTTTGAACTATTTGAAGCAAAGGAACTGTATGGAGCAATGGAACTATAAAGAGCAAAGGAACTATATGGAGCAAAGGAACTATTTGGAGCATAGGAACTATAAAGAGCAAAGGAACTATATGGAGCAAAGGAACTATATATGGAAAAACGAAAAAAAAAATATAAAAGAGAGAGAGAGAGAGAGATTCAAAAGAACAGTGGGAAGCCTCCAAGACTCCAGCCTTCATAAAATTCGCTTGTTAATCGTCGTTCTGCCAAGACTCAAGCGACGTCGTAGTCAAAACTTCGCCAACAAATGGTCTGTTCCAGTACTTTTTATACCCTCCACCATAGTATGGAGGGTATATTAATTTTGTCATTCCGTTTGTAACTCATCGAAATATTCATTTCCGACCTTCTAAAGTATATAAATTCTTGATCAGGGTAAAATTCTAAGACGATCTAGCCATGTCCGTCCGTCTGTTGTAATCACGCTATCTTCTGAAGGAATTGAGATAGGGTGCTGAAATTTTGCATAGGGTTGTCTTCTGTCTGCAGGCAGGTCAAGTTCGAAGATGGGATATATCGGTCCACGTTTAGGCATAGCTCCCATATAGAGGGTACCCCCAATTTTCGGTATTTTGGGGTTCTTGAGCGCGTTTTTCAAGTGAATTTGTAGTATATGTATCCACAAAAAATTATAAATATAGGTCCACTTTCTTGTAGCCCCCATATAACGGTACCTCCTAATTTTCAGTATTTTTTGGGTTTTTATCGGATCCTTACAATCTAATTGGCTGTAATTTAGTATTTTGAGTTCTTAGCAGGTACCAAATCTCTCCACAAAAAAATTTAAATATAGGTCAATTTTTTCGGATATCCCCCATATAAGGGTACCCCCAATTTTGGTATTTTGGAGTTATTGAGCGCGCTTTTCAACCGAATTCGCTGCGATTTTGAACATTGGGTTCATATTGCGTACCAAATATCTCTACTAAAAATTATAAATATCGGCCCACTTTTCTGGGTAGCCCCCATATAAGGGCACCCCAAATTTAGGTATTTTGAGGTTCTTAAGCGCGATTTTGGACCAAATCACTGAAATTTGGTACATGGGCTTCATGTTGGATTTATACAAATATCTCTATTTAAAATTATAAATATGGGTCCACTTTTCATTTCAAATACCTGTCAGTATACCTGTGGTGGAGGGTATCCAAAAAGTAGGCCCGCCGAGACCAACGCTTTTCACTTGTTTAATAGTAAAGCTAGTAAAAGGGAAACATTTAGAATCTCAGAGTACAAAATAATTTGAAAAGTTCGGGAACGCAAATCTAGTAAATATGCAAAATTAGATGGCAATGCTTCAAAATAAACATAACAAAAAGTTTACAAAGAGAAAGCCATTTTGTTTTGTGCTCTCTTAAATTTGATTCAATGCTTTACCAGTTTTATGGGTTCAGGAACGGTTTTCGAGTAAAAAGTTGCAAAACTTGTAAAAGTAGTAGATTCTTTTAGGTTTTGGAACGGAGCTGAAATAAAAACGACGACTGAAAAGATTGAAAAACGTTCCACCTGCTAACGAATGGGAGGAGAAGACAAAATGGCCGATAAAGATGAACTCAAAATGGTATAACCGAAAGTTTACGAATGAGGTGGGATGAGAGCTTAAATGTACTACAGAATGAGGTTTAGGCAAATTATTATTACAGATGCCTAAATCGACTTTGGATTAATCGATTAATATATTAGTCATAATGCAGTCACGATGA